CAGGGGAATATTCCCCGTCCAAGCAGATGCTAATGAGTTGAAATCCAGCCCCCGGGTAAGCGTGGTACCTGCGTACGGACCCCCCAAAATTCTTCCGCGCAAATTCGTGACTCGGGGTTCTGAGATGCCAGAAAGCTGAAATTTTAGGGGAATGTTCCCCGTCCGAGCAGGTGCTAATGAGCTCGAATCCAGCCCCGGGTAAGCGTGGTACCCGCGTACGGGCCTTCCAAAATTTTTCCCGCGCAAATTCATGACGTGGAGATTTAAGAAGCTAGAAGGCTGAAACTTTGAGGGAATGTTCCCTGTTCAAGTAAGTCTTAACGAGCTCAAATCCAGACATCGGGCATACGTCGTACCCGCGTGCGGGCTCTTGAAAGTCTTTTCCAGCAAGTTGCTAATTCAGGAGCCAGGAAAACTAGAAAGCTGAAATTTTAAGGGGGTGTTTCCTACCGGTTCTGGCAACCAATCTTAATTAGTTTAGCTTGAAGCATTTTCCGAAAAAACCGATTCCGACAGGGACAAAAATTGCGGGGAACTCTGCAAAAAACACATCTGTGCACGGGCAGCCCGTGCGTTGGCCAATTTTGATGTCCTGCGAAGGTGTTTGGGTTTTTGAGGCACTGACATGCAGACTGTAGATTGCTGCGCAAAAGCACTCATTCTTTTGCATTCTTGCGTTTATGCAAATTAAACCCATTGTAGCTAGGTCGTGTGCAGGTGTATGTACACATCACGTATCGTTTGTGTGGGTGCGTAAATCGACTGCTGCGATACGGAGTAGGTGCTCTGAAAAAGTAGCTATTGGTCGTTTTCGTAGCTGCATACCTGAGGCCAGCTTTCTTCTCTTTCTGGCGCTGTGACCTTAAATCTGTATTCGGACTTGTGCAGTAATTTGAGAAACAAAGAAAGCAGCTGGAAACTTTGAAGGTTTGAACCATACAATTCTGAGTGTGTGACCTGAATTCAGACGGTTAGTCCCGACAGATTTTAATCTGTAACCTCAGGCCTGAGTTCAGGCTAATTTTTTATGCGTTTTGTGATGTGTAACAGCAGTACAAAACGCATATTGTCACGGGATTATCTGTATGTTTGTGTGTGTGTCTGTGTGTTTCCCAGATTTTGTCCCGCACTTTCAACTCGGGAACCACAACAACTAGACGACTGAAATTTTAGTGTAGTGTTCCCCACCGGCGGGTGATGTGGCTTAAATTCAGCCTTCCCATAGCCGCGGGTAACACGTACGCTTCGTAAAAGTTTTCCGGGTAAAATCAGTGTCTCGGGAACCACGGAAGCTAGGAAGGTGGAATTTTATAGGTATGTCCCTTGACCACGTGTAACCCAGAAAATTTAAATTCATTTTTCCCGTGCGCTTAGATATCGCGTACGGCTCCGTGAAAGTTTTGGCGGAAAATTATCTCGGGGACCATGAAAGCTAGAAAGCTGAAATTTCGGGACGATATTTTCTGCCGTTGCATGTATCTCAAAAACTCGAATATAGCTCCCAAGTATGCAGAGGTGTTACGTAAGACCACTTGAGAATTGTGATGTGGAAGTCGCTAGCTCGAAAGCCGAAAAACTGCAAGGTTGAAATTTGGAGGGATGTTCCCCATCCTTGTTTTCAAATTCAGCTTTCACGTACCGACACGTGAAATTTTCAGTGACAAATTCCTCGCCTGTTTTTCATATACGTTATATTTTTAGTAAGCAAATGTCCACTGGACGGAACTGCGCAAAACGCATGATTACACCGGCTACCCTGGTGCGCTTCGCTATTTATTTTAGTTTGAAAACCCAGCAAATTCGAAATTCTGGAATTTTAATTGAACATACAAGTCGGTCTGAAAAAATTGAAATAAGCTTTCAAACTTCGTTGTTTTGTGCGTCTTGCGCTGTTTAACAGCAGCACAAAACGCATGTTGTCACGGGGTTGCCCCCTCTGTATGTGTTTGTATGTATATATGTGTGTCTTCCAGTGCATTTTGCTCCACACTTTCAATTTGGAAACCAATAATTGGCCAACGCACGGAATGCCCGTGCGAAGATGCGTTTTTTGCATAGTTCCCCTCAGGTTTTTTTCGCTAAAATCACTGGTTTTTCGGGCAGATGCTTCTAGCTAAAAGAATTTCAGACTGGCCGCCGGCACTGTCAGAAAACATCCCTTCAAAATTCTAGTCTTCTAGCTTCTCACGTTCTCGAGTTAGCAACTTACCCGGAAGAAACTCTCACGGGGTCGTAAGTAGGTACCACGCTTGCCCGCGGGCGGGGTTTGAACTCTTTAATACCCACTTGGACAGGGAACATCCCCCTAAGACTTCAGCGTTCTAGCTTCTCAGATCCCCGAGTTGTGAACTTACCCGAAAAAAATTTTGGCCGACCCGTGCGCGGTTACCACGCTTACTCCAGGGGATGGGTTGCAGTGTATTAACATCTACTTGGACGGGGGACATTCCCTTAAAATTTCAGCTTTCTAGCTTTTCTGGTTCGTGAGTATCAACTTACTCGAAAAAGATTTTGTCGGGCTCTTACGTGGGTACCACGCGGGTAAGGCCGCCAATTTTGGGGGATGGGAGCTCATACGTGCATGTAGATTAAATCCCCGAAGTTTTAACCCTGTAGCTTTTGTAGTCTTGAGATGAAAAATCGGTACACAGGCCCTAGATACACACATACACACAAACACACACAAAAACACACACACACACAGGACCTCTCGTCAGTATGCGTTTTCCGCACTGCATAGCTGCAAATAACGCATAAAAAAGCTAGGCGACTGGAATTTTAAGAGAGTGCTCCCTGCTCAAGTGCGATCCCGCAAATTTAAATTCGGCTTCTCCGTGCGCTTCGGCATCACGTACAGTTCCTATAAGTTTTGGCGAAAAAATTATCCCGGGAGCCATGAAAGCAAGAAAGCTCAAATTTAACGGGAATGTTCCCTACCC